CAGATCCATTGAACGAGAACAGTCATTAGGGACCTGCAGACAACGTATTCAGAGCCGTCGGCTAATCCTCCCGACAGTGATTGGTATGTACAAAATCCTCTTACCGTCTAATTGGTCGTTTCTTCGAGACCTATTGTACGGTGGAAACCGAGAAATTGACCGCTATCCGTTCTAGCAATAGTAGACTCACCATTTTCCAAGTGTAACTTCTTATACGACGTCGGATCGTTGGGAATAAATCGTACTATCTTTTTCGAATATTAAGTAACTGATTTAGGGAGGTGCGGTACTACAATGTGATAGAGAAAGTCATTGAAATATTCATTAAATTCTACGCTTGTTTCATCGAAATATCAAAATTCAATTTGATTGAACTTTACTTTGGAGCACCAAAATTTAATGACTTCTTTCGAAATATTTAGTAGTTTTTGGTGCCTAGAATTCATAAATCTAAGTTGTAATGCTAGGAATCCAATGGTTTAACAGTTATTCGTATGTAAAAGTGGCGTATTTCGGCGAATTTCGCAGGTTACCGATGCACTGTTGGTCAGTTAGACTCCAAACTTACTCAGACAGTATTTTCGTCACATGTTTTACCATTTTTAAGCGGACCATGGATAAAAGCCAATATGGCGTCGGATTAACCAATCAGATATTCCAAAGTTGCTCAACTTTACATACGTATAACTTTTTAACCGTTGGATTCCTAACACTAAAATTTCAATTTTAGTGATCTAAGCATCAAAACCTACTAAACGATATAAAGAAAAGAGTGAATAATTTTTTGGTTTCCCGAAGTAAAGTTCGGCCTTGAATTTTTCCAAGATTTCAAAATGGCCTCCGCGATCGTTCCAAAGATAACGGTTCCGGTAACTTTTTATTGAGCGACGTTCGGTGCCCGTATTTTCACTCTAGCCTCCGGTGCAACTTGCACGAAGAGTCTGGGAGGATTAATCAACGTCTTCGGGATTAACAGGAACTGGCTCCTCAATATTTCACGGTAGTCGTCGTGCCCCGGCTGCGCTGGGTTTCCGTACACAGATAGGTACTTAGCAGAATTGATTTCGTCTACGTCGACGAAAAATAATGCGGATCGAGACGTTTCTGGGCTGATTAAGAGCGCGAAGGATCGCCCAAAGACTTCGTAATTCGCGAGCCGATCGCTGAACGCCGCCACAGAGCCTAAATTAAAAAACTGGCGGAGCATCGTAAAATATCTTGACCTCTGCGAATCGAGATATACTTCGTTGAAGCACTGGTCTGCGAAATTCTACATTTTGATTGGTGGGATGGTGTCTCGCCGATTTTGAAAATGCTTTTGAAGTTTCTGTTTCTAGTGTTAAAAGCTGCCTTCGAAAATTCGATTGTTCGAATCGACGTGGCGAAACCCTCGTTGAACGAGCCACGCGGTGTCTTGTAATTTTTTTTTTTTTTTTTTTTGTGCGAAACGGAGAAACGATTCCACCGCATTGATTGGGAATGCATAATGCACCGTTGGCGAAATGGCGCGAAATTCTGACCCGAATTGTTCTTTCTTGAATATACGTAAATGACCGCTTCGTAGGAAATGCATTGATCGGCCGATAGGGTCTGAAAATAATTGGATGCATCAAGAGCGCACACGGTGATTATTCCGCGCCCCCGTTATTCCGAAACCCCATTAGCGCTGCGGAAAAATTAACAAACCCCGCTAAATATGACGCTTTTCGCGAAATATATTACTAGAAGGCAGAACTCCGTTGCGAGCTTGAAGAGGTGCCCAGAATTTCACTCTTCCGCACGTTTCCTCTCTCTTCGGGGTTAAAAATTCTCTCTTCCGATTTATGATTAAAAAATTCGTAATACATCGTTTAACGAAACGTACAATAAAATTTGTTGAAATAATTTAGGAAGAGTTCCCTCGGAATTTAAAGAATCGTCTCTAAACCTCGCTCGTTGAAGAGAAAATCATTTGTTTGACGCGGTTTGAATGAATCGTTATTTCGACATGGAGAAGAGAAAGCTCCTCAGCCGAGAGTGCAGGTAACCAGCAAAGTTTTGATGTACGACCTCTTTGCCTGCTGAATTGTCTGGAGCAAATGAAGACGGATGGTGGAGTCGGAGAAGGAAGAACCGTGAGAATGCTTATCCTTCCAGTGGCAAACTTTGGCAGCGTTCTCTGTTCACCTCGACGACGAAAGAAAACGCGTCTATTACTGAACCGAACCGAACGATTCAATATGGCGTCCAACGACGACAGAATTTTTTGAACGCCATGTTGGACATCTGAGGATCTCTCGCGATATTTGTAA